GGGCACTGCGGCAGCAAAGCATTCGAAACCGTGCCAAATGTCTTTTAGCAATACACAAGCCCTAAGCCTTTGGCGATGGAAGGCTGCAGGGCTTGTGAGAAATTTCGTTTTTCTCAGAAATCCTTTCCTTCATAGGCTTATCCTAGACTGGGTCCTGTAGATGCCCCCGTATCTTGCGATAGCGCCAACTCTTCTTTACACTTCCTAACAACTTGGAGTTTTTTCCCTGAAGTTTCTTTGCCCTGGAGATGAATAGAACTAAATTAGAAATTTCTTCACAAAGCCAACTAACGAAAAATGTGACCCCTTTGTTCCCAAGTTTTTCTCTATGTTCTCTTTGCTGGTCAAAAAAGCCGACGTCATCTGTTTCGAATGAAAATGTTTGGTTTCGATCAGGGTTTTTCTGATAATCGCAGGCCTCGTGGCTCACTTTCAACGGCGCCACGATGACGATAGCGAAAGTGCACTTATCGCCTGCTACTCCTGCTCAATCTGTCCTAGCGCCAAGACCGCTTCTCTCAATGTGCCCCGTATTCCAGGGAACCCTTCCTGTGATGCGTGACACCGAGAATCGAACTTCTGATGACTCCGGTCTGACCAGCGATGACACCAGCGAACGACGTCAACTTGGCGCCAGTGTCATCGAAACTTCAACGCCACGGCAACAGAGGAAACCGGTAAGTTTGAGTATCAGTTTCACATAGCCTGATAAAAAGTGCCTTTCACAGTTAAATAGTTCGTTGTTCGGTAATTCGTAGTTTCGTTTCCCGGCATGATTCCCTAGGGTTTTCCTAGAGGCACTACCGGCTAAAATCGAGCTACGGTACCTTTACGTTTTGATACTGTACCTCGATTTTAAGCATCATAGTAAAACTCTTGGCCAGGTGATGGTCCCCCTCTAAAAGACCCGTGACAAATCCACTCTACAAATTGACGCCATCCGAAAATTTGCGGCAGGATAAGTCCGATCAAGGCTTATTTGGGCGTAATGTTTAATTTTATACAATCGTCTAATCTTGTGGCTTTTGCTTTGTTTGTTCCAATCTCTTACCTCGTGTTACTTATTTATTTACTTGTTATCTTACTAATGCCTGTGCACAACACAACTGCAGGGGTTCCTATAAGCCTTAGCTCATGTGAAACGCAAAGAAAGAGCGTAAGAAAACTAACATCTCAACCATGAGTCAAGCAGGGAAGCCAAATGATACCCAGCGCACAGGAGTGTGCTTGAGCACATATTGAGGGTGCAAAATAAAATCGGCTAACTTTATAGCCAGAGCAGTGCTGTAGCAACTTGTGTTCCTCCAGATGAATCTGGCGCGTCATTTAGTCGACCCCGAGCTAACAAATAGCCTTTTTTGATTCTTGAACGCGGAACGGAAACATGTGGAAACGAGCACATGAAGCGTAAGCTCTGAGTCTTCATTCTGGTGCCTTAAAACTTAATATTCTTCAAGTAGTTTAGTGCAAGTTTAGCTTTCTTCGCTCATGTCTCTGCTAAGCTGTTCCTCTTAAGTTCTTTTCAAAGCTGAGATTTCCCACAAAATTACGAAGGACTCGCTCGAAAATAGTGGAGAGCCGTGAGAAAGAATTTCGCCAGACGCTAATCCTCGATGTTTCAGTGCGTCTTCGGAAGGATTCAAATACGACAAATGAAAAGGCCGCTACCAAGCGACGTCTTCCCCTTGGGATAGGAGAGGCGAAACCCAATTACCCCGTCCCACGGCAACCTCTCACGGGAAAAATTATTTTTGTAAGGCTCTCCCCCGCTGTTATGGCTATTTGGATATCACAAGTTCTGCTTTCAGATCGAGCGAGATAGCCTGAACTCTTACGCAGATGACTACGAGTTTGACGTTGAGGATGAGATTTTTGACGAAATCGCCTCTCCAGCGGACAGGGATGGGTTCGTGGGCTGTACCTACGACTTGGGTTTGTAACAGCGCTAATATTCTTCTTTAGGAACGTCAAATACAATGGATATGTGAACCTTTCCGATTTCGTCGCCATTCGGGATGAAAGTAACTCCTATACCGACATCGTGAAGACACCGGCAGATCGGCCGCTTTGCCAGAGCATAGGCCAAAGGCTTGGGTAGGTGGCCCGACACCGAGTGGTCGTTGTTGGCGGCCAATGCTCTATGCACAACGAGCTGAGCCGACGGCAATTCGTCTTTTTCAGGAGTCGAGACTGCTTCACTTGGCGTCCGAGTGCTTGTCAGTGAGTGATTGCGGTGACTGCGGCGACATTCCATGCACCAGCAGCAATTCGCCCAATCACCGAAACTCCAACAACTCAAACAACCCAAACGCGGTAAACTTTTGCCTAGATATCGATTCTACGAAAGCCCAGAGGGAATTGCTTTGAAAAATGACAGCAGGAAATCCTTGGCTGGCTCTGGGACATAGAAAAACGCGCTTGAAAAATGAGACTTTGCGATGGCGGCAGCCGGCTGGGTTGTAAATCGAGGAAAAACGAGCAAGCCGTGTATAAATAAATTGCGAAGAAATGGATTCTTTCGAGACGTAAATTTCTCTCGCTTTCCTTCAAAGATGTATGAACGGAGTAAGGGTGAGAACTCCTTCAAGGTAGTAGTCTGTTCTGGTGGTTGGGGGGGGGGGCGTATTTTAGGAAATTTGACTTTTTGAGAGCTGCGATACTAATGTTTAATTTAGCAGTCATATGTATCTCCCTCCTCCCCCCTTTGTCCTTTGCTGAATGCGACAAAATTGAGCCGAATTCGAGGAGTTTGAGACTATGTCCACTAGAAATTGGATCCTGGAATTACGCTGATGGTGCGATCAGTTGTTCATGGAGGGAAGAGTTTGAACCAAAACCTCCATCAGAGAAGGTTCGTACTTGCGCGGCCATTTTTCGACACCCTGCTCTTCTTTTGAACATCCACGAATACCTCAAACAGACATTGAAAGGCCCGAGGGAGATTGACTGTCTCATAAATCTTACGTGATTTCTTTTGAGTTTAGGGCCAACGGTTTCTATATATGTTTTTTCACCAATAAATTCGCCAACGCATTTTACTTGTGCTCAAATTCATGGAGGTTTTGTATACATGCATATTTGGCCCGAGCGGTAAAGTCGGTAGTTCCGTCCTGGGAAAATCTGGGACCAATAACTCACCCAGACTGAGTTCCCAATCAGCGAGAAGACAGACGATCTCGCACAGCACGGCGTTCAGTCACCAAATTAGGTCAGCAAGCCAACAAACAATTTACTAGAACAAAGAAGGTTAATAATGATGTAGTTGTGACGGACAGAGAAGACAATAGTGCAAAATCATGAATGTAGTACTGACGCTCCATCGATTCTTTATATCCAATTTTGGCGCGCGATCGTAGATCATTCCCTGGTCCATGCTGATCTTCTTGACGTCGTCGTCACAGACTCAGCGAAATTGAACAATGGCTTTTTCAATCTACGAACCGCTTGTAGCGGTTGAATGGAAGAAGTAGTACCACCATGAGCGCTTCAAGGAATCTCCCAGTACAAATGTTTCTGAAGATCAAGAATTTCGCAGCTGTCGTACCATTATAGGACCTCCACATTAACTGACAAAAGGTCTGGTCATCCGCTGCAGAAGGCCAGACCTTTTGCGAACCTAAATTCCGTAACATGGAGCGGAAACAAGCTTGGCCTTGTTTGGCTACCCTTAGGGATTGGGCTAGAGTGCAGTCTCCAGGTGGTGTACAAACACACGCTAATCTCTAATAACGCGTTTTTCTTGCGCTGCTTAACATGAGCTTATGTTTCCCACCACCGTAGTTCTTCATCACTGCGAGCGGGACTCCAAAAAGCTTTCAGGGTCAGTTTCGCTTCACAACACGTCTGTCTTCTCTCCCACATAATTTCGCAGCGAAACATAGACTTCATTAATATGAAGAGGACACCGCGCAGTTTTGTGGTCCCAATTAATTCTTCGAATTTCTCAACGGAATTCCATTAAACTCAGCTGACGGCGTGCTCTTTTCTTCCCTAATCCACCATTGAGCTCTTGAATTAGTTTTTCATGTCCTAGAATGTTTCATCAACAAAATGAGCGCGGCTAATTGCAACGAAATGCCCTTACAATTGGGGGTGGGAACAGTCTTCAAGGCAAAAAAAACCGCGTGTTTACAGCAGCTCGAGAAATCTCCAACTGGAGTACATGGTCTCTTTCCGTTATCATTTTCTGGCTTCAATATTTGTGGCAATAAAAAAGTTCGGGAGTTACTGTGGCGGAAAGGGAAGTGAGGATTGCTGTGTGAGTGACAAGGTTGAGGATTACCCTGGAAGGTAGGCTGGGCGATATAAAGATTCACTCACTCACTATTTATGGCCCTTCGCTTGTTCAGGCAAGGTTAACTTCTCCAAGCGTTCCTGACCTCAACTATCGTGTTCATCCTTATCGAGCATTCTGCCCTTTAGC